GAGAGAAACAAAATTGAAAATTTGGATTCATCCCATTTTTTAATAAAAGAAGAACATTCATCAAGCAATAAACAGAACAATCCTTGATTTTTTTTTTTCCATTTTTTGTTTCCAGGAAAGACATACATAAACTTAACATCATACCTAAATAAAAGAACATAAAAACATCAACAGAGAAGGTAAAAACAAAGCAAACATGGCGGATTTTTTTAGAGGAAGACAGATCTGGATTTGATGGAAGGAATCCCACCCACGGGATCAAGCTTCCACCATTTTCTTCTCCATTTTCCCAAAAAAATCCTCTGTTCCAGAATTGTACCTAACAATGGCAACTGAAGATGAAATTCCTCAATCTTCTTTCTCAAACAGAGTCTCCTTCCAACGGAAAAATCCCTCCTTTTCTCTGCTGTCGACACACACTCAAAATCAGAAGACAAATCCGACTCCAAAATCAATCCCAGACCCCTCAAATCCAAACTACAAAATCAACCAAAAGACCAATCTCCTTTACTCTGCTTTTGCTCTATATATACACCCAAATGATAAAATAAAAATAAAAATGAAATAAAAAAAAGGCCTTGCTCTGCCAATCACTAATGATGCCAATTTTGTCTGGTATGTGGTGTTTTTTTCTGCAGGTGAGGCAGGGGCATGGCTGTAGGCTCGGTGCAACAGAGGGCCGGGATTGAGGTGTAGAGTGCAGGAGGCGCAGGTTTCGTGCAGCAGCAGGGGCGCAGGTGTGGCAGGGGGGAGGGCAGAGCAAGGCCGGGCGTGCGAGGGCGGTGTAGGGCTGTATGATGGCTCGGGTGTGCAGGGGTATGATTGCAGGATCTGGGCGCAGAGTGCAAGCGATCTGGGCACAGAGAGCAGGGTTGGTGCAGAGCAGGGCTGGTGATGGCTGGCGGGGAGCGTAGAGTGCAGGAAGGAAGGTCGGGCGCAGAGCAAGGAGCAGGGGCATAGGCTCGGTGCAGAGGGGGGTAAGGGCACGCTGATGGCTGGGTGTGTGGCTGCCGGGTGGTTTGGGGAGAAGTCGCTTCGAGAGAGAGAAAAGATTGATGGGGAAGGAGAAGGTTCCAGATGCCTCCCCTTGTCCTTTTTTTTTTTTGAGTTGGGTTAAATGGGTTTTGGGCAATTTTTGGTTTTGAGATTTTGGGCTTGGGTAGTTGGTAGGCTTTGGGTTTTTGAGTTTTTGGGTAATTGGATTTGAGTTTGGATTTTGGAGTGGTTTTGGGTTTTTGAGTGGGCTTTGGGTTTTTTGGGTTTTTGGTTTTTGACTTCAATGCATTTTACCCTTTAACTTTTTCTCTCTTCAATTAAGTCCCTTCTTTCTTCTTCTCCCACTTTTCACGAAATTTCTTTTTGTTTGCAAGCCTAACAATGAAAGTAAAAGTCAAACATATTAATTAAGTTAAAAACTTAAATAAAAATAAAATTTTAAAAATTTTGATTTATGACATATATATTATAATTGTAGGGTTTAGATTTTTTGAGGTCTTAGAGTTTATATTTTCAAGGTTTAAGATTTAATATTTAAAAATTTAAGTATTTAATAATATAAAAATTAAAATTATCGGACCAAAAAGTGAAATTATAAATGAATTGTAATGACAAGAAAGAGAGAAGGTGGGTTCGGGTGATAGAAATGCTGGAACAGGAAGGTTGGTGAATGATGAAGAGAGGTACAAATAAAGGGGGAACTAATTATTGAATTTTCTCCATTAGAGGAAGAGATTCAATGGGTTGAAGGGAGTATGGTGGCTGTTGTGAAGTCTTTGGCATCCATAACAGCCATTCAAGAAAGAATGGACATGGATGGAGGGTTGATCAGTTTGTCACCATTAGGAGGAAGACAATTTATGTTAACTGAACATGTACTGGGATATTTATTGGATTATATGCAGCAAAATATGGAGTAGTTCGATCTGTGGTTTAAATCAATACAACCATGGGCAAATGCGTCTCAAACAAAAGGTAGAATGGTCTGATTGGTTCCTCTGAAGGCCTAGAGCATTAGATGTTTTGAGAAGCTTGGTGGATCAGTGGGCGAGGTGATACTGATTCATAAAGACACAAAGAACAAAGTTATTTTGTCCGAAGGAAGAGTATTGATCCTAAGCTCAGAAACTGGAAAGATATTAAAGTTCTTTACATTGAAGGTCACGAGCAACAATATGAGATTGGGATGGTTGAGGAAGAATGGTGAACGGATGTCGGAAGGTGACGGCAGAGTGAGAGGGGCTCTGAATCGGAATATTCCACAAAGCAAAATTGTGATATGCGAATCATGAATGTGTTAATGCCGAGATTTGCGACAAGGGATTTGAAAGGATTGAGGATATGCAGTCAGGGAAGGAAGGTTGGATTCATGAGCAGGTGGATGAGTTGATAGGAAATCAGAGGTCTTGGTTTCAAATCTTAAAAATTCAGTTCCATTAAAACTCGTAAGAGAGAGTTTTACTGTTCATTGGATCTGTCCAACTCAAATTTAGATTAGTCGGTGACTTAATAAGCTTTCGAATACTGGGTGATCCATAAAATTTTTTTTTAATGTAAACGAAACAGACAAAAATGAGGGAGACAGTAGCTTTAATTTGGAGTGCAGGACAAACTTTCAGGTTAGTGATGAAAATGGAGCATATTCGGAATTTGGGCCGTTAGTAGAGAGGCAAGGTGGGTTGGAGGAGTGTGATGGGCTTATAGCAAACTCAACTGGGATGATTGGGTGTAGTATGGGGAATAGGCCTGATGCTGAAAATGTAGGACAGCTAGATTCGACCCGAGAGATGGATAAAAGGGATTTGATGGGTAAACAGCATAAGAAATTAGAAGAGCATTACCCAAAGAAGCTAGTAAAAATCTGGGTGGATCCGGGAGCAGGGGCAATGGGTGACAGCCAGAATGAAGCAACGGCAAGGAAGAAGAGAGATGGCTCAAAAGGATGCAGAGGAGAAGGTGAAATGGGTTGGTTCATGCTTCTCTTTTAGATGGATGTATTGTGCACATAAACCAGGTAATTCGAAAAGAACTGAATTTGCATGAGGTGAGGAAGATGATTAGAGTTGGGAATAAGTTGGGTATTGAAATCCAAGGCAATGAAAAGGAGGTTGAGTTTAGATTGTTAGAGTTAGAAGATAAGGATGAGGAAAGGGGATGGAATTTAAAAGGAAATTAGGGGTGTTCGATGATTGGGGTTGTGGGTTTCTTTTTAAGAATGAAGTTTTTATCTCTTAATGTTAGGGGGTTGAGAGTACTATTGAAGAAGAAAGAAGTGGGGAAACTAGTAAAAGTAGAAAGGCTAGATTTCTTGTTTTTACAAGAGACTATATTAGAGGAGGTTGATGGTGATTTATGTAGAATGTTGTGGAATTCGGAATGGTGGTTTAGGGATGTCGGATTTGCGTAGGAGGAATTGGGCATTACTTGGGAAGTGGTGGGTTAGATTGGGTGATGGAGTGGAGATTTATGGAAACAAGTGGTATGGGAAAAATATTATGGAGGTACAAAGGAGGTGGATATTACTGCACTGGAAAGTGTAAGAGTGTCTAAGATTTGAAGTGATATTATTAGAATAGGAGGGATGTCAGTGGGTTCAAGAAATATGGTGGTGAAGGGTTTTAGATGGGAGCTAGGAGATGGCAATCGAGTGGGGTTCTGGAGAGAGATATGGGTTAGAGATAGGTCGTGAAGGGATTTATGTCCTTGATCACATGAGTTGGCTATCAATAAGGAGGGTCTGATTAATGAGATAGGCGAATGGGAGGAGATAGGTGGCGATGGAATATGGAGTGGAGAAAAGAGAGGTTAGGAAGAGTGAGGGATGAAGAAGAGGTCTTCTGGGAGATGCTTGGCCATGTACAATTAAAGAGAGGAAAGGAGGATCGCTGGTGGTGGGTACATGGCTCGGAAGGACGATATGTGGTGAAGAAAGCTAATGAGATTTTGGCTCCTATGAAGTGCCTTCTTCCGGATCAGTTTTGTAAGATGATTTGGTTTAGGTTAGTTTCTTCAAAAGTGGATTTTTTTGGGTGGAGGTTGTCTTGATAGACTCCCAACAAAGGCAAACTTACAAAAAAGAGGTGTGGTGTTGCAGGGGCAGGCTAAATGTGTGGTTTGTGTAATGGGGTGATGGACAAGGCTAATCATCTATTTTGTACATGCAAGGAAGCTTGGTTAGTTTGGGTACAGGTGCTGCACTGGTGGGGTATTGAAGTTGTGTTATCAAATACAGTAGGAGTTGCAGAGCTTTTTCTATATGGTTTGGGTAGGATAGTAGGGAAGGAAATGGAAGCGTGCGTTTTCCTTGTTGTTTCTTGGTATATTTGGTATTATAGGAATATTAGAATCTTTAAGAAAATTGAGACTTTTAGGGAAAGGGTGGTAAATATGGTGCAAGCCAAGACTTTTTTCTAGATTAAGCTTAAGATGAAGGGGTGTGTTTTCTCCTTTTCCAAGTGGCAGAATAATCCAATGCAAGTTGCTGTAGAAGTCAAACGGCATAAAAGGTTATTGAAGGTATTCTATGAGCAGAAACAGGGGGTGGCATGAACGGATAAATGGTAGGAATGGTTCGTTTGCTGGTTTTTTGGGTTTGATTATAGTTTTTCTTGGCTGTTGGGTTTGTTTGTATTGCTCTTGCCTTTTCACTTTGTAGATGGATTGGAGTACCCCCTATACTCGTTAAAATAATAAAAATATTTATTTTGCTGATAAAAAAATTTTAATTTAAGAAGCAAAAACAAAATAAGTATAGTTGGGGACCAATTAGCTTGGAGACCAATCTAGTCCCTATAGCATTACCCAAAAAAAATCGGTTTCTATTCAAATAGATCCATAATACATGTTGGCCAAAAAGAAAGGTCCAAGTTAGTGCCACATCAGCGCCACATAGGGAACACCATTGAACTTAATAGAGAACTTAACAAACTTTTGGACAGCGTCAAGATGTCCGTTGACAGAAGAATGACACTCGGCCTTCTCACCAAAGTTTAAGGATTATTATGAATTGTTTTTCAGTAGAGCAAACTAATGACTTCTTTTTCAAAGTTCGGGGATTTTTACTTACATTAGACCTATTCACAAATGTTAATCATTGGTTCACTTTTTTTTTTGATAAATCAAAATTTTATTTAAAGAAAGAGTACAAGGGGTACTCACCCATTATATTTAGAAAATATAGAGTAGAAGGAAGGGAAGGAGTTGAGACTGGATTGCACAAAGGATTGGGAACTTGACACCAATCACTAAAGCAAAAACCAGCAAATTTCAAGCTTCCTTTAATCCAAACAAAAGTTTAAACCTGCACTAAGTCTGTAATATTACTCTCATCCCAAGAAAGTTTGTTGAAACAACACCATTGTTGAAGTGCCAAATGGTCCAGGTTGTTGTAAAGATGGGAAGAGCCCAATAGTGCCATTCTTTCCTTGGGGTTGAAAGTGAGCAAAGCTAAAGAAGCCAATGGGAGATGTTATCCGTAGGGATAAATGTGAGTCTCCACCAACAACATATACAGCTCCAAAGACTTTGAGAAAGTCTGCACTTAGCAAAACCATGGTTTGCATCTTCCATATAATTATTACATCAGCCACATAGTGGGTTGGATGCTAAATCAACACCCTGCTATATGAGGTTATCCTTGGTGGGGAGGCGATTTAAGAAGAGGCGCTAGGCAAAGACACTGACTTTAGCAGGCATCAATTGATTCCATATTAATTTGCAAACATTCTCATCAAGGGAGGGAAGAGAGACATTGAGAAACAGGTATGCCATTTTTGCATGATATCTTGAGGGGTAGTGCTTCCAAATTATTCTATCGACTTTGCCTTCGGAAACAATTACACTTCGTAGAATGTCTTCCAACATCTCAAGCTCATCCAGTTCTCTTCCAAAAAGGGATCTATGCCATTGAAGATTCTAGCCCTCCCTAATGGTTGGTTTCAAATCAACTACTGTCAAGTCTGTCTAAAGCGAGATTGAATAGACAAGGAAATTCAAGCTTTCAAGGAGAGTTTGCTAGCCAAATATCCTTCCAGAGGTTGGTTTTAGAGCCATCACTAAGCTGATGTGAGAAGCCATTTGAGAAGCACATGGTGGCTCTATCGCCTTCCTTGTAAATGGATAAAATATCCTTCCAAAGAGAAGATAATCTTGAGGACTTAGTGGTATTGATAATATCATTGGTTCACGTTTGATTGATGTCAAATGTTTTAATTTACTTTTCAACGAAATTACATTATTCTTCATAGTTTGAAATTTTTTTAAAATTTGTTTAAGACTCATTAAAAACAAATTTTAAAAAAAAATTAACTTACAAATTTTTCAATAAAATTTTAAATTTACGAGAGAAAATTTTATTTTTAAAGTAAGTACTCTTTAAATTTTACCAAACACCTTTTAAGTCTTTTGTCTAGATCAAAGGAAAAATAGAGGGCTTAGCTTTTACTTTAATCCTATGTTTAGGTTGAGAGGAATGGAGATGAATGGAGTGGAAGTGGAGGTGAATGGAGGGGAAGGAAGGGGGGGAAGGAGGGAAAAGAGAATTATTTCCTTCTATTCCCCTTTATTCCCCTCCCTTCATTTTCCCCCAACTGGATAAGTAACCAAATTAAAAGATAAAATAAAGAAAAATAAAGTTCCTCCCCCCTCCCTTTCAATTTTTTTATAACCAAATAAAATAATTTTTTCTCCTCCTCTCTTCTCCCCTCCATTCCCCTCAAATTAAACATACAATAAGTGATTGGATTCATTTCCTTATCTATGTTGTGGGAGAAATTTTAGTTTAAATTTGGAGAAGATTTGTCAAAATGTAAAGTTTGATGTAAAGAGCTAATGTACCTTTTGAAACTAAACAATAGAAAATACTTATTTGTTGGAACAAAAAAAAAAAAAGAAAAGAAAAAAGAAAACACCAAAAACAAGCATGCACATGATAGAACTCTCCTACTAAACAAAACCCTCCTACTAAACAAAACCATTTAGCAAAATACTTTTATACTATATTTGAGGACATGAGTTTGACATGTGTATTTGAATTTGAACACTTTAAATTCAAAATCAATGTTTATTTTTATTTAAATAAAATGTAATTAAATTTAAATAAAATACATATATCTTACCTAAGTATTTAAAAGACTTAAAATGCATGTATTTCAAATTCACCCTTAACCTCATGGATTTCAATTTCAATCCCTACATTTTATATATCCGGCAGCTTCTTGAAATTAGTGGTTTTCTCCACACCATCTTTTTGCTCTGCTCCATCTCCGGCAGCTTCTTGAACTGGGGGACAAGACACGCTGGACTCTAGCGGGGGAAGGCTAGATCTCCGGTTGAGAGTCATATGGGCTATAGACAATCGCACCGGCATCAATCCCGCATAGGGTGGTGAGTTCACTTGCCTTCTTCATGAGACCCTTCTTTCTTTTCTTGAAGGAGGCTTTCCTTGCAGAATCATTGGATATGTATTGGAGCTTCACCTTCTTTCTAGTCATG